AGAGGAGCTCGGCGTCAGGTTCCAAGCTACCAGCCTGAGAGGGCATTGATAATGATCTCATCATTCCTTCAGGACACTCTTCCTCCTTCCTCATAATAATCACAAGCTAATAACGTCCTATCAGGGGTTTTTTTTCATATGTCTGACTAGTCAAGTTTGACAAGAGTACTGTTTCATGTGCTTGTCTTGGCGCGTGTTGCACTTTATTATACGTCTCTTTTTTCGGATTAATGAAAGTATTTAACTTCCAAAAAAAAAAGTTTGACAAGGGTGTAAATGGTCTTGTTTAAGCCTCGGCTCATATGTTACACTATAGTGAATGGTATGAAATCCAAATGCAGTCTCCATCACATGAGAAGGTTGCAACTCAATTTGAATACTCAGTACGATGGATAAAAAGTACCAGCCACCAAAGGATAAATTTCATTTTACAATGTCAAGGCTTTTTTATTAAAATAAATTTGATTTTTTTAATCTTTTGATGGACAAAAGATTCATAAATTTAAAATTATTTTGTAACCCGCAGTGCTATTGTTGCAAATACATTTTAGCCCATGGGAGTTTGAACAAGATCAAAACCAGAACCCTGTTAACTAATGAAATATCAAAATAATTAGGGAAAATTTCAACCACATCTCTTCTAGTTTATCATATCTTTAAAGTTACCCCCTCTAATTTATCATATCTTCAATCTAGTTTCTAAATATTCAATAACACCCCTGTCAGATTAAAAATATTAAGTAGAATATAATTTTACTAAATTGCCCGTGATATATTTGAGGACAAACTTCATCCACACCCCCTCTAGATAAGCATATCTTCAATGAGACCCTCTCTAGATAAGTATATTTTCAATGAGCCCTCCTCTGTTTTCTAATTTTTTTACGTAATTAAATTCGAACTGATTAAAATTCAATTCAAGCTAATTTAAATTTATTTTTTTGCATATTAAAATTTGCGCCAATTAAAAATTATTTTTTTTATGTATTAAAATTTGGGCTAATTAAAATTTTGTTTGGGCCAATTAAAAAAAATTTAATCGACTCAAATCAAATTTTAATCAATTTGCATTGAATTTTAATCAGCTCAAATTTTAATATATAAAAATATATGAATTTAAATTGACTTAAATTTTAATAAATAAATTTTAATTGACACGAATTTTAATACGTAAAAAAATATAAATTTTAATCGACTCAAAAAAGAATTTTAATTGGCACTAATAACTCAAGTAGAGTTCAAATCGGCTCAATTTTTTTAAAAAATTTACGAATTAGTAAATAACAAATTAGTATTTACTAACAAATTATTTACTAAAATTGTTATTTACAAATTTTTTTTTAAAATTTTAATAGCTCGAATTTTAATAAAATTTTATGTAGAAAAATTACTAGAGGTTATGTATGGGTATTTTTGGTATTTTAGATGAATTGTTTTTGTTAGAAATAGTAGTTTAATGGTATAGGGCGTTAGTGATGTTTAAATTAAACTAGAAGGGGTGTAATTGAAGATTCAAAAATTAAAAGGAGTATCCTTGACGATATAGTAAACTAGAGAAAGCGTGATTAAAATTTTTTCAAATAACTATTGTACGTACCCCTCTTTATGAATAAAACCCGACTAAGTTTTGATGAATCCCTCTAATTGTTAGAGGGATAATGTGTAATTTCATCCAGACTGGACCAGATGAATGATCTTTTTTGGTTTATTGAATGTCATGCTTGCATTTCCTAATTAGGAGAAGATACATGGCCCTGCCTTAGACTTTATTTGGCTTCCTAACCCACAAACTGAAAAAACAAAATCCCCTATGGTTTTTATTATGCCTTTCTTCCTAGATTCTCTACATATCTTATGGTCTATGGGTGCTTTTCCTTTGCTATAGGTACAATGTTCAAAAATTACAATAGTTGTAACGCTACTTAGACCTAATTTACTTACTTAATTTTTTGATTTAATCAATCATGACCATTGGATTGAAAGTGGACCCTTGTATTTATTGGGACCCACAACTAATTCAATAATTGTGATGGATTATGTCATTAAATTAAATCTAAATAGTATTATTGATGGTTTATAATAAGAGTAACAATTGATGTAAAGCAAAAAATGTGTGTTTATCTTGGTCAAAACCCTTTCTAGTAATCGACATAAATAAGGAGACAAATATCTCTATGAAATATCTCCATGGACATAAAGAAGGAGACAAATATCTCCAAACAGCATTCAAGATGAAGCGGCTTGCATATAATTCAGTTTATCAAGAATGTTGTAGATTCATCAATAGAGTACAAACGAAAGGCTCAAGCATCAACACCAATCATATCTATTATGGCAGTACCTAGAATAATATTAACTCTGTAAGAAGGCGATCGAGTGCATGAACTTCTTAATACTGTAAGATTTAGAAGGATTCAATATATACAATCTTACATTTTCTTGCAGAGAAAAAATTATCTCCGTATCTCAAACTCGTTTTATTGTTTGATACTAGAACAAGGTATGCATGATTGGTCAAAAAAAAAAACTCTTTCCAGAGGCATACAAGAGGGAAAATTATGTCCATTTTGCTAGAAGGGCTTGTCTATTTCTGTATTTGTTTTAAGATTCAATTTAATTGTCATTTAGAGCAATAGAGAAAGACAAAGTACAACTTTATTCGATTTGACTAAATATTCATGTGCCACAATGACAACTATGCCTACTTGTAGGTATATAACAAAAAAGTGAAAGCACCAAATAATCCAACAAACACCTTTTTAAATTATAAAGATGACGATAGACATGGGATGATTGATGATTCATCATCACCCATTTGCCAAAAACAACTAAGAAGTTGTGTTTTTGTTGTGGGAATCCGTATTAATTAGAGGGGGGGGGGGGAAAATCCTAGTCAATTGGCCAATTTTGGAATCAATGTCGAAATGACCCTCGATATTTGCTGATGTTTGAGGTGACTCGGTTTATTTTACTAAGCTTTTAACAGAATAAGAACACTATGGACCGAGTGATATAGCATGTCAATATGACTTGTCATATCCCTAATTAAATATGGAGCTATAGGTTTTAATTTTTAAGAATTTTATACGAGGAATTAAATTTAATTTTCGGTTTGAATTCATTCAAATACTCGCAAATATGAATCTAAGCTCAATCACGTACAACCAAAACAATCTTAAAAATACTCAAATTTGATCAACTCAGCTCGATTAATATTTAGTGAGAAAGAGAGAGCTTTGTCGGGCCTATTTTAATCAAATCAGTAGTTCCACTTTCGCTCAACTTCTTAAACCATCACCTCATGAATAAGAGTTTATAGTTTCCGCTTTTTAATTTGATATATCTAGCATTAACTGTATAGTTACTAGGGGTGCAACTCGGATGGGTTAAACAGTCAACCCTAACCTAATCTTAGGTGTATAATTTTCAACTCTAACCTTAATCATAACCTTAACTCTAACTCTAACCCTACCTCGAGTTGAGGGACTCAACCAGAGCACTGTCCGAGTTTAATTCGGACAAGTTCGAGTTGAATTCGGATTAATGATTTCGGACTAATTTTAAGTTATTTTACGGGTTTAATTCGAATTGAGTTTGGTTTGAGTCCAAAATAAGCTTGTTGTTCTAAACAGTTTAGACTAAACCTAATACATATATTACATAATATTCATCTAAATTAACAACCAACAACTTCAATCAATTTTTTAACATAAAAATCATAATATTAAAAACTCAATATTTGAGATAATGCAACCACAACTATACAGAGAAGGCTGAGAGGGCTAAGACTCTGACGAATACAAAAGACACCTTCGGAAGGAGGCTGAGAGAGGGTTGAGGGCTGAGATAGATCTTAGAGTGAGAGTGAGTGAGGGTTCTGAGGGAGGGAGGCACAGACTAGATAATAACCCTTTATATAGTATTAATTCTGGTTCAACCCGTGAATCCGAAGCCTACCCAAATTGAATATGAGTTAAATTTTTTGACCCAAGTCCAACCCAAGTATTAAAAACCTTAGACTAAGCCCTAATTGACTATCGGTAAATTGAAGTGTGAATTATCAAGTAGTTCTATGACCAAAGTCAAGAGAGACTGTTAATATTACTTATTGTAGATTGGCTGATTTGTGGAGATTAATTGAGAAGCTAAAGCCACTTATTTTAATAGCATTGAATAAATTACTTAACAAAATATTATATTATACTTGATACTTATTATCTTTATTCCTTTTGAATCTTAAATTTTATCTATTTATTCATAATTGTTCTGTATTCCCTTGTACAGTCCCTATATTCTTAATACGACATCCAAACAACTCCTAAAAGTTATGGCGATGAATTGTTCTAAGGGCAATGACGGGGCAATTGATATGTCGGTGGTTAAGGGTGGGAGTGGGTTGTGAGGAAGCAACGCTGGATAACACCGACGGGGGTTAAGGAGGGCATTGATTTGGACAAGTGGGGTGTGTGTGTGTGTGTGTGTGTGTGTGTGTTACCGAACTTATCTTTACAGATTGTAACTGTCAACCACCTCCCCACCGCCATCACCCCTTCTGTAGCCAATGTCATCACATCACCACGGCACCACAATGGTTTTTTGGTAACAAAGAGGCCTTATTTGTTATTTTGCCTATATATGAGTTTTTTTTTTTTTGTTCAACGGTCCGGGTGTCTAGGTCTCTTTCAGTTTTTCTAGAAATAATCACACAACAGAAAGATTTCAGAGATGATAGGACGACAAATGACGGACCGAAAGAATATTGAAACGCAGGGAACACAATCAAGGCCAGTTTAGCCGTGCTTCATGAACAATGCCTTCGTTTCTTCATGCCGAACAAAAGGATCACCTGTTGTTTTTTTTCCTTTTTTATTCCTTATTGCTACAATATAAATGCAGGTATAACTAGCTCTGTTGTCTAAAATACCTCAGAAAACTGAGAATTAAACAGTGTGGATCACAGTGCTTACAACGTATGTGACTTTAGCCGAGCCAAGTTGCTTCTAATGTGAACAAGAACAACCAGGTTCTTTCTCCCCACTTTTAGCCAACTTATGACTATGCTCCCAGGTATCCGTTGGAGTAGCTTGTGCATGAGGAACATGTCGAGGATGCTTCTCTCTCTTGTCCCCCTTTATCTGCTTCAACGCATGCTTAAGGGCAGGCAGCAAAGCATCCATACACTCAGCAACCGCATTTGGATTCCCCGGCATGTTGATGATCTAAAATTATTAGTAATACAAGAAAGTTGTGTTAGAAGATGCCAAAAACACCACTCACACCAACAAAATAATAATTAAATATCTCACTAAGTGAAAATCCAATGCTGATAGTCCTGGGCTATCCAGCAGAATTTCACTCTGGAACAACTAACAAAGATACCAGGAGCCATGCATTGGGAAAATGAAAACTTTACTTCATAGAAAGTGGTACAATTTTTATAGAGATGAACAACAGCATTGTAATTTTCTAGCCGACTTGCATTTAGCTGCTAAAGGAAATAGGTAGTGTTGCAAACTAATTTCACTGACAGATGCAAAAGTCAGTTTTTTCTCCAGCATACGATTGCACATTCAGAATGGTTGCACCCATTTTTTATGTGCTTCTTTGTCATGGTATTATCAGATCAGATCATATGCTTCAGGTCCAGCAGCAGGAATAAAAAATTGTTTATGATAAGGTGTATAAAAAACATGGCTAAGATATGAAAATAAGGGGAAAAGAAAGGGGGTGGGGGAAATAAGGGGTGAAAAGTTCTTCAGAGGTTTTGTATTCATGCCATGCCACTAGCTGAAAAAGAAAAGTGGTTTTGGAAAGGGTGTCGGGCATTACCAATGTGGATCCTCTTATTCCAGCTGCAGAGCGTGAGAGCATCGCAAATGGTGTCACCTGTGTGCAGTTTTTTGAAAATAATCAAAAACGACATTTTTTACAATCCATAGATAAAATAATATTTTGGCTGCAAGTCAGACAACTAAAGACAGCATGCCCAAAAATGCCAAAACAAACTTGATAAATCAAAGAACTTCTTCAATTTCGAGAAATAATTGGACAGCCATTGTATTCCAGTGACGAAATAAACATTGAAGACAAAGTGACAAACTGAAGAAACAGATACTTGTTTTCTAATTTATTTTGGAGTCCGCTCCAAGGACTACAGCAAACTTTCATCCAATACTCCATTTACCTTGGTCTGTCTTTTCCTTATTTAATTAATGTTTTCTCGAAAGTAAACCAGCTTCAGAGTGAATAATGTGCAATTCAACTTAGCTTACATTCGGAAATTGTCCATATTTATGTGCCAGATTGACGAAATTAAAATACAGTTTTCACAAGTCACATATTTAAAGTACTTGATACCTTCAGACTCTCTTGCATCATCACATGGAGAAGACCAGGAGTTTCTTTCTGTATTAATTCTTTGGTTGCTTCAGGGGTAACATCTCTTGGGGTAAAGCCAGTACCACCTGTCTCATAAAATTAGTCAGGAAGGGGAAAAACAGGAGAAACCAAACAAGTGTATTTTTATTGTAGCAAATAACATGTAATCTAGAATAAAATAACCTTACCAAGGGTAAGAATGAGATCCATTTTGTCAACATCACTCCATCTCTTCAGAATTTCCTTTATTTTAGGGACCTCATCTGAGACAACAGCCGTGGCCACTACCTTTGCTCCTCCTAGTCTTTCTGACGAAGAATCTACGACGGCAACTGCCCTTGGACCACTGCAATTCCCAAATTTTCAGAAAAAGTTAAAATTTACTACATTACAATGCACAACCAGGCAAGTGATCTATTACGAGTTTAACTTTAAGCTACTTAATGCATAGGCAAGAAATGAACTGTCAACATGGTATATCTTCTCAAGAGGAAACACCAATAACATTGACACCCTCAATAAATTAGAAATAGACTACTAGCTATTTTGTCCCTTCTTTTGGGATTAAGCTGTAAAGAGTAAAAACCTTTAACCTCAACCATTGATACACTTAGCTCGTGCATTTGACCCAGCCAGAACAAACAATAAAAATCCATGGAGAGAGGGGGAGGGGGGGGGGAGAAAGAGAGAGAGGAGGAGGAGAAAAAGATCTTTTACCCATAGCTGGTCTCACCAACCCAAAGTGGCAAACTGTCTAGGAACTTAGATTGGGCGATATTTGCATAGAATGGTTAGTGCTATGTGTAAACTTTGATCAAATAAAGAAAAGCGAAAGAAGAAAGAGAAAATATTATCATTGCTAAACAAGCCAGTAATACTCCTTAACATAAAATACACAATATAGGCCTTATATAGTAGGGCAACAAAACAATGTAAAATGCCTAAACTACCCAAAATATAAAATACTCTAACATCCACCCTCAAACTCATAATGTGGTAACATCAAACATCAAGAATTTGCTAAGAAGAAAACAAAGCGAGCGATGGTGTGAAATTTCGTAAAAAAAGATCAGCAAGTAACCAACGCAAACAAACTATCTCTGCTGTTGTGAAGGTCATAGCAATGATAGGTCCAACAAAAAACAACAAAAATCACCAGCAACAATGTCCAACAAAACAAAACCCAACAAAAAAAAAAAAAAGTCAAACCAGCAACCCAACAGAAAGAAGCTCAAATCAACAAACCCAAAGGATTAAGGTTTCCCAACTAAAATCACCAGTAATAATGCCCAACAAAGAAAAGAAGAAAAGTCAAACTAGCAGTCCAACCGAGAGAAGCTCAAATCAGCACCAGTCCAAATCAATAAACCCAAAGGATTTGGGTTACCCAACAAAAACTGTTAGAGTATTAATAATAAAGATAGTTTAGGCATTTTCTTTATGTTGTGTTGCCCTACTATATATGGGTTATTTTGTGTATTTCTAGGTTTAAGATGTTTATTACAGACTTGCTTTTAGTCTAATAATATAATCACTTTCTCTTCTCTATTCTCATTGATTAATTCTATCAAAAATCACTAACAACGATGCCCAACAAAACAAAGCCCAACAAAGGAAAGAAAAAAAGTCAAACTAGCAGTCCAACAGAGAAAAGACCGAATCAGCACTAGCCTAAATCAACAAACCCAAAGGATTGGGGTTGTCCAACAAAAACCACCAGTAACAATACCCAACAAAGGAAAAAAGAAAAGTCAAACCAACAGCCCAACAGAGAGAAGCCCAAATCAACAAACCCAAAGGATTGGGGTTGCCCAACAAAAACCACTAGCAACAACGCCCAAATCAAATAGCCGAAAGCCCAATAGCCCAAAATAAGTGCAAACTCAAAGTTCTGTTCTCAAACTCAAAACAAGACCCAAAGAGAATACTAGCGAAGCCAAGAACAGAAACTAGAACCAAAAGAAGCAGTCAACGCCAAACAATCCAAAGTTTGTCACAAATCAACTCAACAGCTTTGCAAATCAAATACTCATAACAAATTGAGATTTCTTACACAACAATATAATCAAAAATAGTACTAAAAATCATAGTTGTTAGTATCGTACGATACGCGATACGTATCGTACAATACGTTACGATACAGGCTTAAAACGATACGGATCGTTTTTGCGTTGTATCGTCCGACACACGATATGTTTTTACAGTACGATATGTATCAGTATAATACACATGATACGTGCAAAAGCTGTTTTTTTTTTTTTATGGAACGACGTCGTTTTGTGCCAAGAGGCTAATTTTTTTATCCCTATAACCACTGAAATGACGTCGTTTCAGTGGCTAGGGTTACAAAAAAAAATAAAATCCCTTTTTTCCCTTCTTCATTGTTCGCTGGTCTTCGACTCTGGGTGTTCTTCAGCCTTCGACGACGACTCCTGGGTGTTCGCTGGTCTTCGACTCTGGGTGTTCTCTGTTCTTCCATCGAAGCTGCATATCTATTCTTCCATCTAAGCTGCCTTCTTCTTCCCGGTCTCCATCGAAACCTGTGGTCCTGTGCAGTGTAAGAAATGATGTTAATTTATTTACAAAGCCAAATATATATATATATATATATATAAAAATTTCTAAATCTTGATTAATTTTAATTTTGTAAAACAGTGGCATCACCAGCATCCTATTTTCATATAGAAATGACTAAAAAACTTGCTAATGATCCCATATGGGAACATTGTGACAAAGTAGAAGGATCAAGGTTGAAATTGAAACGCATTCATTGTACAAATGTCTATTAGGGTGGCATTTCAAGAATGAAAAATTATTTGACTGGTAATCGTAAAGATGTAGCGTCATGTAAGCATTGCCCCGAGGAAGTAACTGAATTTTTTAAGCAATTGTTGGATGATAGGGCTTCTAGCAAAGATATGAATCTTGTGGATTCAAAAAGTAGTGACAGTGTGGGTAGTACTATTGCTGATAAAATACAACCAACTACCACCATTACTTTGAATACCATGTTGAAAAAAAAGGGTAGGGAAGATGTATGTTTGGATATTTGTAGATGTTTTTATGCTAATACCCTTCCTTTTAATTTGGTAAAGGATCCATATTTTGTAAGAATGTTAGAATCTGTTACATCGTTTGGCAAGGGATTGAAACCTTCATCGTATCATTAGGTGAGATGTTCTTTTTTGAAAAAAGAAACAGATTTGATTAATGATGGGTTAATGAAAAATTATAAAGCAGAGTGAAGAAAGACGGGTTGTACTCTTATGTCTGATGGATTGACTAATGGAAAACATCGCTCTATCACTAATTTTGTAGTGAATAGTCTTAGAGGAAGTGTGTTTCTTAAAAGTATTGATACTTCAGGCATTCATAAGAATGTGGATAATCTTTTTCAGATTTTAGATTCAATGGTAGAAGAGATTGGTGAGGACAATGTTGTTTAGGTTGTGACTAATAATGCATCGGCTTATGTAAAAGCTGAGGAGTTGTTAATGGCAAAGAGGAAAAAATTATTTTGGTCTCCTTGCACTGCACATTGTCTAGATCTTATATTGACGGATATTGGAGACTTTCCTCTACACAGGGACATAATGGCAAAGGCAAGGAAAATCACAGTTTACATTTATAGACATTCTTGGGTGTTAAATCTTATGAGAAAGTATACAAAAAAAAGGAATTTGGTGAGAGCTTGTGTGACCAGATTTGTCACCTCATATTTAACTTTAAGGAGTTTACTTGAGAATAAAATTGGGCTTGGAGCAATATTTGCTTCTGAAGAATGGCAGAGAAGTCAATACTCTAAGAAGGGAGATGATGTAAAAGTGATGGATATTATACTAGTTGACCAAAATTTTTGGGGATCAATCAAGTATTGTTTGAAGTGTGTGTTGTCATTGGTGAAACTGTTGAGGCTTGTAGATGGGGATTTAAAACCTGTCATGGAGTATATTTACGAGGCAATGGACAAGGCAAAGTAACAAATCCAAAAAAAATTCGTAATGTGAAGAAGTACTATGAGCGCATAAGGACTATTGTTGACACTAGATGGAACATGCAATTACACAGATCTCTTCATGCAGCTGGCTATTATCTCAATCCAACGTAAGATTTAAGTTTCTCAATTTTTATATCTATATATTGTATACTGATCGATGATCATTTTAAATCAAAATAACTATTTCAGATTTCATTACGTTAACGGTAGTGCAGACTATGAAATAAATATGGGACTTTATCAAACTATTCAGAGAATGTGCCCAACTCCTATTATGAGAGAAAAAATTGATAAACAATTAATTATCTTTCACAATGTTGATTTGAAGTTTGGAATGGACATGCCAATCCAGATGAGGAAAAAGAAACAACCTGGTTAGTGGTAACGTAATTTAAGTTAGTCATTTAATGCAATTGCTTAAGTTAGTTAATGCAGTATTCTATTGTAATTTTTTATAACCTTATGGTGGGAATCATTTGGAGAATGTTGTCCAGAGTTGCAACAACTTGTTATCCGCATTCTTAGCTTGACTTGTAGTGCCACAGGATGTGAGAGGAATTGGAGTACATTTGACCAGGTGCACTCTAAGAGGAGGAATCAATTAGAGCAGCAAAGATTAAGTGCACTTGTGTTTGTGAAGTACAATCTTCAATTAGTGGCAAGACACCAAAAGAGAATACTAGAGGGTGATTCCTATAATCCTATTTCTCTCTCGGATATTGGAATCTGATGATAAGTGGATCACTGAAAAAGAAGATGCACTCCTTCCCAAGGACACTACTTGGATGAATGTTGGTGAATGTTTTGAGGTTCAAGAAGGGACTAGCAAAAAGAGAAAGTGAGGTATATAGCATATAATTAAAATGTAATGGTTATTTTTTCTTCTTCTCCATTACTTTGAATATTTTTTTTTATATTTTGTATTGGTTGTTTTGTAGGGCCTAAAAATATTTCTTTAAACAAGAAAAAAGGCAAGCAATTAATTCAACTTGAAGATGAGGATGAGGATGAACAAATACAAGAAGTTGAAGATGATGAAGGAAGTGAAGACTTGTTGGCATCCGATCACAATGATGATGACGATGATGCATTTTCAATTGAAATTGAAGATTGAGTTCAAAATAGATGTTAACAATTTTGATTAGAAGTCTCTATTGTGTTTGAAGTTTGAATTAGTGAACTATGGTTGTAAACTTTGCATTATAATATTAGTGAACTATATTGATGACTTGAATAGTTGGTGGAGTATTAATAAAATGCTATATTTTTATGAGTGTATGATTTTTTTTCAAAGGTATATATATTTTATTATTATTTATTTAAATTTGCACCGTATCTTACAATACACAATACAATACACTATTTTTAAAAAACGATATGCCTTCCGATACACGATTTGATAACTATGCTAAAAATCGAGTTCGGCACTGTTCACAGCCCATAGAACCATAAAAAGTCAGCAACCCACCAATCACTAGCCCTCAAATCACACAACCCAGCACCAAGAACCTTTAGTCGCACTACTTAGACTTGATATGAAGTAAAGAAATAGAAGAAAATAGCAAAAATAAATAAATAAATTATCATAGATGATGTCAGCCCTAATCCAAGAATATTTTCTCTTTTTTCAACTAAATTATTGTGGTGCTACAATATATTTTAGATCAAAACCATGCTCTGATACTATGTAAACTTTGATCAAATAAAAAAGAGCGAAAGAAGAAAGAGAAAATATTATTATTGCTAAACAAGTCTATAATACTCCTTAACCTAGAATACATAATATAGGCCCTTATATGATAGGGCAACAAAACAATATAAAATACCTAAACTACCCAGAATATAAAATACTCTAACACTATGTAGGGGCTACAGTAATTTGCATTTAGCATGGAATTATAGCTCAAGAGGAAGTTAATAGCAAGCATCAAGAAAAGAGCTGATATCTCGAGACTTGAAGACTTCACAATGAAGAAGAAGGGTCAAGAGCATTAACCAAACAAATGCAAGGTGAATCTCTACATCTGAAGAGCTTCAAGCAACAAGGCACAAGTTACAACAGTCACAAAAGTGTCAAAACTAGACTTTTTCCCACAATTTACTGAGCAGGTTCCAGAAAAACTGGTTGAATAAGACCAGGCTAGTCAACCAGGTCAAGGAGCAATAATCAATCAGATAGCCACTAACCCCAACGCTAGTCGATATGGCAAGTAATAATTTAAAAAAAAAATTAACTGTTAGACTAGAAATTGCACCCATCCACCCTATATAGTATTCAATTGTTTTTGGTAAAAACTCTTATGGTAGAGAATTTAAAACCTCACATACACTTCAATTCTTTTCATTCATTATTGTAGAAACCCTTACCACACTGATTGATCTTTCACACTTTTAAGAAGACTTGGTTCAAGGTGAACCTATGAGACCTCGGTTAGAGATTTATAGTGAAGGTGATGAGAACTAATTTTGATTGTGGATTAGCCTAGGCTTAAAACCTCACAAATCCTTGGAGACATGCTTCCTAGTGAGTTGTTAAGTTAGCCTTGAAAACTTTTAACCCTTTTTAGGTGATTGCTAGATTGGCCGTGAAAACTTGCACAAATACTAGGCGATAGACTATTTAGGTTGGCTATTGATTTGCCAATTGTAATCACATTGTAAAGGATTTGGGTGAACCTTGAAAAACCTGTTGACTAGTGGAGCAAAATCCTAATCAGGGGTTGGAAGAGTTGCTGTAGGTCAGAGAGACCAAACCACTTTGTTGTGTGCTTCTTGTGATTGAATGGTTTAATTTTGAATTATGCATGCAACGTATGATAAGAAATTCCCAAGTATGTTTCAGATTATTAAAGGTTGAATTTTATGAGATATATGATTTATATATTCACATGCAAGTTAGTGTGATTCATGATCGAGTTACTTGAGAGTAGAGATATTTTGAATGCCATGCATTATTTGACACAATTGGGAAGTTCTTTCTGACTTGGTGAGGGAAATTGAGAAAGCAATCAAAATAGGATCCAAACAGAAACATGGATACTACTGGAATCGAGCTAATAGACTAGCTACCTGAGCCAGTCAACTAGGTAATCAACAAGGTTTTGACCGAACCAGTTTGTCTACACAAGTGCTGCAGCAGCATATCAAATCTAGGAAATAATTGAATAATCTCTCCTGTGATTTAATTAAAAAGATGTAAAAATTAATCAGTAGGACTATAAAGTTAGAAAATGTTAAAATTCCTATTCAACCCCTCAAAACCCCCAGCAGAATGACCACCTAGAGCATAAAAAGTGAGATTTTAAGAATCAGCTGATCTAAAATGAACCAAGCAGTAATTTTTAGGACAGAGTAGAATTCATAACCAAAAGGCTTGTAAAAAACATAGGCTTCGCAAGTTGCAATAACATGTAGCAAAGAACTCGGTACTTCCCAGTTCCACTTTGACATGGAGCAACATCTAGTTTGCTCTTTTAATGTAGCATCAGTGAAGTGACCCTTTTGGAATGATGATCTAAAAAGGTGTATCCTGATGCACCTGAATTTAACCATCAACATTTTTTATCCTCTAAAGTGAAGAATGGTCTGCCAATCAATTTATGGGTTTTTTAAGTGCAAATGATAGGTATGCCACCACCTCGAACAATAAAATGCGTGATAACTAATTGGAGGAACTGCATCACATCCGTTATTGTCAAATAGAGCCCTTCAATGAACAACAGAGATATCAGTTGGTCTATTCTAAACCCAAAACTCTTGACTTCAGACATCATAGTTCCTAGCAATGTGAGAAACAAGCATTTTTTTCTCTATTAAAATTGATGAACACGTTAACACCAAAGTTAAAACTATTAAAGAGAGAAAACCTATGTATAGACAAAGGGCTACTAGATATCAGTTGGCCTATTCTAAACCCAAAACTCTTGACTTCAGACATCATAGTTCCTAGCAATGTGAGAAACAAGCATTTTTTTCTCTATTAAATTGATGAACACGTTAACACCAAAGTTAAAACTATTAAAGAGAGAAAACCAATGTATAGACAAGGGCCAACTAGAATATATGCATAAAAAAATCCTTTAAAAGATATGTTTGACATGGGAGAGAGTGCAGCAAGACGACAGTAAGAATACACTTTCAAAAACACTGCTCACAAACAATAGAAAAGCTTATAGTGAGTGCAAGAAAGATTAGGCAAAGTACCTTAAGAAGTGAATAACACCCAAAATATGCAATACTCCACAGCCTAAATTCAAATGTTCAAACATACTACAAGTTTTGATTTTGAGCAACCCCGCCACATCCCCAGAAACCCACATTCAGAAAGTCACAAATGGAGCATATCACAAAGAAGAAGGTTTGAGCAGTGTAAGGTGAGTACTTATTGACACATAATGAAGACACATCCCATCTATATCAAGCAAGAGCAAAAAGATCCACATCAAAGCAAAGACCCAAGAAGCAAAATACCTCCGATCGGGCCCGGCTCCAGATGCAACAGTATCACTCACTGTGAGAATGGCCACTCTAAACTTAGGATCCTGAGACTCATCTGCAATTACATCTTGTGACATCCTTCCTTGTGTAGCACAATTCGAATCAAGCGATAACAAGCTTTTGGTCACATTGAAACCACTCAAACAAGAAATTATGATGGCTGTCACAGATGTTCCAGCAGATATTACACTGCCTGTAGCTGGCAGTTCCAACAATGCATTTGCTGACTTCATACTTAAAAGTCGACTACTCATCTGATGACCAGTGCTCTCAGCAACAAATCTGAAGTCCATAAAAAAGATTAGAAAATGCTTGCCATTTAGAGTGATTAATGCATTATATACTCAGAATGGTTAACAAGATGACACATCCTGCAAGAAACCAGGTCTTATATGGATCCAGCTGGAATAAAACCAAAGTACACACAACTTGGAACTAGTAACCAAAAGGAAACACTCAAAAAAGAAATTCATCTCACCCTGGAATTCCCAATCCATCATCGACCTCCCATCTAATAATGGCACGATGATATTCAGGACGAAATGGATCAGTCTTCAGGGACTGCTGAAGGCGAGCTTGCACTCTACACATGAAACAGGTATACAAGGGAATCCATTAAATTTTGTCAAAGATTAAACACAGATCTCACTGTAATAGGGGATGACATAGTAAAATCAGGACAGACTCTGTGTGTGTGGGGTGGGGTGGGGTGTGTGTGTGTGTGTGTGCAATTTCTCAGTACAATCAGCAACCTTGTAAGGTGAGGATCTTCCCATCCGGCAAGATAGTGAATGCTAGGGACCACAAACAGATGGAAACAGACTAAACAGCTCACTGGATTTCCAGGCAACCCAAATGCAAGAATCTTGTTGTCAGCCGATTCTGTAATGATCTCAGCAAATGTAAGAGGCTTTCCGGGTTTCAAGCAAATCTGTGTGGACAAAGGAAGATAAAACAAGCACAACCCTAATCATCTATAACTTAATGAGGCAAAGAAAAGCAGCGGCACTTACTGTAATCAAGATACTACAATGTAGGCATAAACTGCAACTAAAAAAATTGGGAAACAAATACATGAGAAGAAAGCAATAGAAATACTTAAATAAGCCGCCATTGCCCTCGTAAAAATACAACAGACATAATGAGATGAAGAAGAAGAAGAAGAAACTCATCAGTCTACCTTTTCAAAATGTACTTTTCCTCTCTTTTGAAGAATAGGCTTGACAAAGTCTTTGTCTCCCATTGAAACACCTCCAGAAGTTAAAAGAATATCAATTCCAGCAGAGAAAGCATCATCCAAAACCCTCTCAATCTCTTTTTTATCATCACGAGCAATACCAAGGTCAAGAACTTTGCACTGCTGCTGTGTGGCAGCAGAAAGGATCATGGCGCGGTTCGAGTCCCTTATCTGCAGAAGAACATACTACCCATCTTAACAGAGAAAACGGGGACTATAAACCAGATGGTAAGTTTTGAAAGCAACACAGATGTCAACATAAAAGGATCCTTCAGAAATACGAATTGAATGATGTGGGGAACATGCAATATTAGCAGCAGTCATGCCCAGATACTAATACATCGATTTCTTGGTTGCGGTGAAAGTGTCACTATAACCGTTTGACAATAACAAAGCTATTCTTAAAGTAACATCACAATAATAATTTCACCTAAAAATACATGCACTAATACATGAAAAAATTTCTTGTGTAACAGTTGACTTAGGTTGGGGGGGTGGAGGGGGAGCACTAATCAAAATACTTGTTTGGGGACAAAACAAGATCTACATGTCAAAAGAGCTACTTATGAAAACAAGATTAGCGGCAAGACACAGGATGTGATCCACCATGTACCACAGAGTGGCCCAGAGGGGTTAGGCTTTAGTTTCAAGCAAGTTTCTTAACGTTTAAGGATAACAATTTTCTCCAGCAGCCCCCATCCAAAAAAAAATCTTTGACCATTTAGCTGCATTAAGCCTTAAAATTCCAGAAGTAACATTCAAGATTCTGAGATTTTATTCTGATTTAGACCACTTTCCAGCTAAGATACCTTTTCTACATACTTCATATATTTCAGCAATTTTTTTTAAACTCATTCAAAAATAAAGGATTTTTAAAGTGAATGAAAATGCCAGGTCGCATTAAGATATGTGTTTCAAAATCAAACTTGCTTGAAAATCAAGACTAACAAGTCAAGGCCACAGTGTGAGGCATGTGTGGAGCAACAAGACTCTACAACTTTCAAAATTTTGAAATTTTGTCCTAGTTTTAAACCATCATTCAAGCTTAGAGCCTCTTCCTCGGTGTCCTTAATTTTCAAAATTTTAAGATTTTGTCCTATTTCAGAACCATCAATGGGGTGTAGAATCTTTTTCTACATGCTTCAGATCTTCCAGCAACTCATTTTAAATGTAAAACTGACCAAAACAAAAGCCAGTCTAGACAAGCATGTATACGACACCTGGATTCTTTGCCCACCTCCCTACTTGTCATTTTTGGTTTTTCTGGAGACTTCCTCATCTCAAGCCTATTTGTCTCAACATGGAACCATTTCAGACTTCATCAATACAAATTGGGTATCCTAAAGGCTTGCAGTACCTGACCATAATTCAAACACCCAACTGTTGGCTCTACTAGTTCGTCTCCTGTGGAAAGCACGGCAATTGTTGGAGTAGGATATACCTGCATAAAGCAAAAGAAATAACAAAAAGGAAGAAAAAAATCGAAGGGGAGAAGTTCTTCGACAAAGAAATAACAAAAAATATGAAGAAAAAAATAGAGGAAAAATAGGTGTCAACAACCTTCACTGTCATTACACCCATGGTGGCAAGTAGTCCAATTTCTGCAGCGCCTATTTTTTCTCCAGATTTCAGTACTACAGCATCTTTCTTGATGTCAAATCCCTGAACAAAAAGAGATTCACAAAATGTAATATAAATTACAGAGATCACAGTAAGTTATTAAATTTGAATTGCAATAGTACAATGTAGAATGGTGCAATGGTTCCAAGGATGGCATCTCAACTTATCAGGCTTTCATTCTCCCTTAAAAAAAATCCATAGACATGGAAGAATTGTTAATGTCTCAGGCAACCATGTGGGATCATCTACCAACTAAAAATGTTACACCATCCCTATCTCATATATGAACCGTGGACTTGAATCAACAACCCAGCCCTTGTACTGTGGTGGCCCCATTGAAAAGATGGTATATGTCATATTTTCTTTATGAGCAAGATGATATATGTAATATGACCCAAGCTAGTAATTTCTCTGCAACTAATATGAATAGAATTCCTCAGCAGAAAGGATCAAATCAAACTTAAGCAAGAAACTATAATACAGTCATCCCAGTAATTTACAGTAAAATTCTTTTACATGGTTAATCATAAAAGCCAACACAATAATACTAGATGTTCTTTGTATCACCTTTCGGCCACTTGTAAAAAAAGAAAACTAAAAAATACCCATAGCTTTAATTTAATATCCTGGTTGGAGAGATGTATCTAAATAATGCATGTAATAGTTTATAGTCACAAATTGTTTGTCACGACAGAATGTCAAGTTCATCTAGAACACAAACTATAAAGCCGATAGATTTATATCCATCCAGAATTTCTTCCCATGGCACTATGTTTTGCTTCTGACCAAAAAAAGAATGACTACCAAAATTTTCATTCTGTTTAACCAACTGTACAAGAAGACAGTCTGCCAATGCTATATATAACGTTGACCCTCAAGAATTGCCTTGCAATCAGCATATGCTTGCACATGCTTCATAATAATTTTTCACATTATTAATGTAACTATTTTAGCATCTGTGTAGCATATTCCTACCATAAAGTTGCAAAAGGTCGGTAAGGTGAAATCTTTTAGCTACTTTCAATTGAGAAATTAATCTATAATCAGCAAGGGTTCATACCACCGGACGAATATCAACTCCTTGGCTAGTCTGTACCAATATTCTTACTCGATTCGATTCAGCTGAAGCACTTTTTATTAGTTCAGTGTCCTCTACTTGAACAACTGCATCAGCACCATCAGGTATTGGTCCTGGGGAGAATGGGAAGGATTATTTTTTAAGATCAATGTGAAAAAAGCCTTACCTTGTAAAGAAAGAGTTTAACTATTAGAAGTCTGAGAATTATGATGCATTGTTAGAAAAAGGATAATCATTGATATATATGTATATCATTGGAGCCCATTAGTTCAGTGGGTTAAAATTCAGCCCAATGATGTTGGGGTTCGAACGTGACGGCAGTCACTTTATGCTAGTATTACCAAAGGTTAGTTTTGTACCCAATCTACCCCTCCAAGACCCCATCAATGGAGACTAACCTGGGTCCTATTTTGTTTAATATGACTTAATGACATCTCTGATTTATATAAGAAGCTTTGAGGGCCAATTTTGAATTATTTCAAACACATTGAAAATAATTGCCAAATGAACAAAGTGGTAAAACCAGCTGTTGTACCATAAACACAAAGATCTTGCTTGTATTCAAGAAGTTTAACCAAGCACTGAGTCCTTTTTTTCAGTGTACTAATCACTAGAAAGAACTTGGAAAGTACCAAATAAAGCATATTTTTGTAATTAGGGAGGCACACATTAGATCATTGTTTTAAATAATGGTAATGGATGATGTAACAGTGATAGTGTATCGGAAACGGGGTGTATTGGGCGTTACGTAACAGGTTTGAAAACCAGAACCGTGAATTATTTTTTTTGCATTCACACCTCTCTCTAAATATTAAGTAGGTACATGTTAGGTCCAAAACTGAACAAATACAATTTTTGTAATTCATAATAAATTTTATATTCTATAAATAAGTTTGACGTGTTAAATTTGTCAAATAATCTCAGAAAAGTTTGAATAAAAAAATAATGTTAGTCCAAGCAATAAGCTTATTTGCAAAGATGTCCGTTCCTAGGATAGTCTAGGGACATGTGGCCCATTAGCGTGGCGTCATCACCTTTCTTTATTATAATATGGTTTTTTTCGACAAGTCTTTATTATAATATGCTTGTAGAGTGATCTTTGTCAATTTTGGTACCCTGGGTGGACAGGTATGAAGCAAACCAACCAACCAGTCCTGGCTGCTCATACTTAAATCTTGCTTTGAGTGTATTACATTCAATCTTCCCCACTTCTCCTTCTTCCCCCAAGTTTAAATGTGAAATTTTAAACTTTTCTGCAACTTTTCAAAACACTTTAGATATTCAATATTTTTCTTCCAATGAAGGACTAATAAATTAAGAAGTGGAAAAAGTATGTGCAGCAAGATTTCCAAATCTACATCTCTCTTCCTCAATCTTTTCTCCTCCTCTAATGAAAAAAAAACAATGAATGCCATGTGTTGATGTAGGACAACTTTGTAAAATAAAAATAGGGGCTGTGAACAGTAATGAAGTTGTAAACATTAACTTTGAGTAAAAATCACTCCAAGGGTTCTTTAGGCATCACACCTAGGGGTTAGAATTGCATCACACAACTAAAAAGGCATATAACTGCTGAAACTTCTGAAATACCTCTCTTTTATTAAAAATATCACTAATCATATAGAGTTTTAAATACTTTTAATCCCAAAAGATTAGGATTCCAAAGTTTTTAGGATTCCAAAAACTCTAGGTCCCTAAAAATTAAAAAACTAAAATTAACTAGAACTAGAACTTTAAATTCTAGAATATTCAATACTGGAATTTGACCCAAAAATATGACCAACTCTAGAAATTCTAGATATTATAAAAATACCCCTTGACTCTAAAAAATATAAAAAAAACCACATAAAACACTAATACTACCAAACTAAAAGTAACTAAAAATAAGACTCAATTTATGCTTATGTAAGCTCCCAAGTAGGCTCCACATCATCCACCGTGTGCTAAATTAAAGCTTAAGCCTTAGAAGCATCTTTTTCTCGCATTTTATAAACTTTATAAGGTTGTTGTCATTTGTCCCCAACACCTCTCCCAAGCTTAAAAAAACTCGATCCTGGCGAGTTAAATGAATGGAACCGTTCATAGAAGTCGGGGTTTGGACATTGGAACTCATTAACGGTGATCCGTGTGCAATCAAAAAGTGGACGTCTCTTCCATTTGATAAGATACTTTTGATAGCCACCTCCTCTAGTAGACACAAAGTTGATGATCAATAACATCTTCAATCTCTTCCTTCACCCATCGAGCTGGTGGGAGTTTAGCAACAATAACAGTTGTAGGTGTATCATCATTATGCCTTGATATAAAGTAAGATCCTCAATATTGAAGACATTACTTATCCCCATATTCTCTGGCAAATTAAGAACATAGGCATTAGAGCTATTTTCTTCATAATCTTGTAAGGGACAGCACTTTTTGAATGAAACTTCTTATATGCACCCTTAGGATACCTTTCAGGCCTAATATGGACCATAACCATGTCTCCTTCCTTGAATTCAGCAAACTTTTTCCTCAAATCAGCATGTACTTTGTAGCTGTCATTGCTTGTTGCAATCCTTCGTCACACATCATCATTTATCTCGCGCATATGTTTGGCAAAAACATAAGCTTCGATACTGGGACGAGCCTCTATGGGTAAAGGAACTCCTAGGAAACCTATCACACTCTCAAAGGAGTTGCGACCAGTAGATCAATTAACAGAGCTATTATAAGCAAATTCAGCCAGACGAAGTACTTGGTCCCAATTAGCAACATGATCACCAAGAAGACAGTGAAGGAGATCGCCCAAGCTTTGATTAACAACCTCCATTTACCCATCAGTTTGAGGATAAAAAGAGGAGGAAAGCTTCAGTCTTGTATTCAGCAATTTCCCTAAAGTTTTCCAAAAGTAACTCATAAATTTCACATCACGGTCTGAGACAATTGTTTTAGGTAGCCCATAAAGACGAACAACTTCTTTAAAGAAAAGTTTAGCAATATAGATGGCATTGGATATCTTTGAACAAGGAATAAAATGAACCATCTTCGAATATCGATCCACCACCACAAAGATAGAATCATGATCCCAAAGGTTCTTGGCAACCCTAGGACAAAGTTCATACTTAAGTCTTGTCATAGTTCATAAGGAACAGGTAATATCATATACAAACCTTATTTTTCTTCCTTCCCTTTGATATTTGACAAGTCCGACATCACAAGACAACTTTGGCTATGTCTTGCTTCAAACTTGGCCAATAATAACGGTCTTCAACCATGACAATGGTTTTATCTCTTCTAAAATGGCCTGCTACCCTTCCCGAATGCAGTTCTCGAATCAGTTGTTCACGTAGAGATGTGTTAGGCAAACAAAGACGAGTTCCCCTGAAGAGATAACCGTCATGCAAGGAAAAATCTGAATATGCAACATGTTGTCCAACCTTCAAATCAATATATATATATTGCAGAAAGACTTGCAAAATGGGTAGTCCCTTTTGAGTAAATCAAAGCCTACCACTTGTATAGACATTGAGGAAAGCATAAGCTCCTTTCAACTTAGTGCATCAGTTGCTTTATTCTCAACACCTGCTTTATGTTTGATCACAAAAGTATATTCTTGCAGAAAAGAAATCCACTTTCCATGTTGATGATTCAACTTCTTTTGGGAATTGATATATTTAAGTGCTTCATGGTCGAAGTATAGTACAAATGTCATAGGAATGAGATAATGTAACCAATAACGAAGTTCTTGCACCACAGCATAAAATTCTTTATCATAAGTAGAGTATTTTGTTTGGCCTCATTCTACTTCTCGCTAAAAAAAGCAATAGGATGGTCTTCTTGACTAAGTATGCCAACAATTCCCACATGTAATACGTCACATGCTACCTCAAACACCATTGAAAAATCTGGAAGTCACAAAACTAGAGCTTTAATCATTCTCTTCTTGACATCTTCAAAAACTTGAGAGGCAACCTTGGTCTAATTGAAGTGCCTCTTCTTCATAAAACTAGTGATTAGTGCCATGATAGTGCTGAAATTTCTAATAAAGCGTCCGTAAAATATGGCCAGCCCATAAAAACTACGGACTTCATGCAAAATGGAGGGAGTCAGCCACTCACGAATAGCTTTCACCTTGTCCGGATCAGCTTCCACACCTTTAGAAAAAATAACAAAGCTCAAAAATATTGTTTTCGAACTCATAAAGAAACATTTGTTTGTGTTTATATACTGCTTATTTTGATGAAGAACTCTCATAACTTGTTTGAGATGAAAGAGGTGCTCCCCTGTAGTCTTACTATTGATTAAAATATCATCAAAGTAAACAACTAAAAAGCGCCAATGAATGGTTAAAATACCAGTGTCATAAAACACATGAATAAACCAGGGGCACTAGAAAGACCAAATGGCATAATTAGCCACTCATAGAGTCCATCTTTTGTCTTGAAAGCAGATTTTCACTCATCTCCGGGTCTTATGCGTATTTGATGATATTCACTCTTCAAATCTATCTTTGAATAGATAATAGAACTAGTCATCATGTCTCGTAGATCATCAAGGCGAGGAATAGGAAATCGATACTTGATAATAATGTTGTTAATAGCACGACTATCAATACACATACGCCAAGTACCATCTTTCATCCATTTGTCTTTTTAGCTCAGCGTGCTCACTTAGATTCAAGCGATATGCTGGGAGATTAGGCAATTAAAAATCTGGTACAAAATCTATTGTGTGCTAGACACTACGCAAGGGAGGGAGCTCATTAGGCAACTCTTTCGGAGCTACATCAGAAAATTTGGACGGCAACTTTTGCACTTCAAAAGGCATATCAGGTTTAGCATCAATACGAGATTTCTTCACTTCTTTAATCATTATAGCATAAATAACATTTGGGCCTTTGCTTTACAATTCAAATTGCTTCTTTGACAGAATATGAATAGGCCTTTGCTTGCCCTCAACAACACACTTGGGCTTCGATTCTTCATATTTCTTTATATCATCATGTGACATAGGCTTCAAAATAATAGTCTTCTTTCCAAATAGAAAAGTGTAGGTGTTTTCTCTCCTACAATGCTTGACATCTCGATCATAGAACCAAGGTCAGCCAAAAAGGATATGAGTGACTTTTATAGGAATCACATTACATAATATGGAATCATTGTATTTTTCACAAGAAACAGAAACAAGACATCATTGAGTTACCAGTGTTATCAATCCAAGCTACTTTGTATGGTTGAGGGTGTCGTTCCGCCGAAAGCTTAAGACGTTCAACTGTGGATGCCGACACAACATTCATACAGCTTCCACCATCAATAATAAGCTTTTTAGCTTGATTTCCTCAACGAACCAGAATCTGAAAAATAGAAATGTGTCGTCAATCTTCTTGCTTCACTTTAGGGGCAGCTAGAATATGTCTCACAACCAAAAGAAAAGAAGTATCCTCTTCGTCTTCCTCCAAATTATCAGAGACATGTGCACCAACATTAGACGAATTCTCTTCATTGGTATCCTCGTGTGGTTGCTCTTCGTCCTCATCTTTCATCCCAATATGTAGGTTGTTCTTCTTTGGACATTGATAATCCATGTATCCCAGCTCACCACACTTGAAACAAACATCCCTCATGTCTCTCCCATTTGATTTATTAGTCGTAATACCTTTGCCTTT